CGAATGATAAATCTGGTCTCATGCCTACTGCTAAATAACTAAGGGACATGACAATGGACAGGTAAGCAGTAGATGTTTTTGGGTCTCCGTCCTGATCAGACGTAATGTCAACATTAGCTGGTAAAGGCGTCTTAGCAGTTGTGAAACCATCCCAATGTGAGTCTAGGATTTCAGATACCAACTTTTTCTGACTGAGAGTGAATGCCCCTTCTGACCGTGTCACATCAACTCCTACGATGGAGTCTAGTGACTGACTCCATTTGATTTCGAGCTTACCTTCAAGAGAAGATTCGAGACGCTGTAGAATTTCAATGGAGTCCCCAGTTACTATGCCATCGTCAACGTGGATCCAAATTACTCCAATCTTTGACGGATCCTGCAATACATAGAGACTGGTGTCGTACTGGCTTGCCGAGTATCCCAGATTCAACAGGATGTTCTTTAAATGTAGCCACCAGCATCTTGCTGCCTGTCTCGTTCCGTACAAAGCCTTCTTCAGACGTAGTCCTTCTCCCGGTCCTAGTTTCAATCCTTCCGGCGGTTTTATCCAAATCTCTTCGTCTATGTCAGAGTTTAGGTAAGCTGCTACAAAGTCAAACGAATGAACTGGCCACTTGTGTGCTGCTGCTAGGGTCAGTACTAATCTCATCGACATAAAGGTCGCTGTAGGGGCAAAAGTCTTTTTGAAATCAACATCCTTGACTTGGGTAAATCCCTTCGCCACATATCGCGCTTTATACCTCGTTATTGTACCATCTGGTGCAGTTTTGATTGCAAAAACCCATCGCCCATCGAGCTCTTGCTTCGGTGAATCCATTAGTTTCACTTCCCAGACCTGCTTTCTGTCGAGGTTGCCCAGCTCTTCTTCCACGGCTGCTTTCCATCTATCCCAGTCTGACGATTTTTGAGCCTGTTTGTACGATTTTGGGATGCCCGCTGAATAAAACCCACAGTTGATGATGACATCGTCGACCAGCCGCTCCTCCTGTTCATATGCAAGCTCATGAGAGAAATCACCTAAAGAAACAAGATTGCTTTTTGGGTCAATTGTCAGCATTGTCTTCAGTTGTTTATTCACTTGATCAGTTGTCAGCATTGGTGCGCCAGGCACATCTTCAAAGGTAGCCCAGGCTGATGTCACCAGCTTATCCGTCTCCGGTACCCAGAACATCCAACCTTTGCTGTCATCCAGGTGAGAAATGACATGTGCTTTAAACGCATGATCAGCCAGTTTGTTCCTTTTTTCCGGTGGTTGAAGAACATAAGCAATACTACCAAAAATTCTAGCCTTATCAACTTGAGGCTTCACTTTGAATAGGGCTTCGTACGGGGTCTTGTCTCCACTTGTCTTGTTGGGAAGCCGGTTGAGTGTCCACGAGGCCCATTCGAAGGCAAAGCCCCAGAAGCGTTGCGGTAACTTGCTGTCTCCTAGGACCGTTCTTCCCATGTCAGAGACTGTCCTATTGAAACGTTCCACTACTCCATTCTGGTAATGGTGGTAAGGCAGGCTCCTTTCTGCCCGTATGCCTTTAGACGTCAAGAAAGTCGCCAATGCTTTGTTTGCAAACTCTCCTCCGTTGTCGCTCCGTAAGACCTTCACTTTTAGTTCTGTCTGCCTTTCAAGTCTGTTGATAGTGTCTGCAATGTGTTTGTTAGCCTCAGATTTGTTAGTCATAATTTTTACTTCATTATAACCGGAACCTAAATCTTTCAGTGTTAGTACATAGCGACCTTTGTGATAAGTCTCAATAGGGGAAAGGTCCCATCAAGTCAACATTCAGAATTTCTAGTGGTTTGACAGACCTATTGGAACGATGGAGAGCGTTGTTCCTGTTGCTTTTGTGTATTGCACACACTGGGCAGCGTAGTTGTCCCGCAGGCATCTTCTCGGGCAGTCAAAAGCAGCTTGTTGCTTCACTAAACGCTGATTACCCTAA